CACCTACTTCTGAGTTTTGACATTTAGAGGGAATGTTTCATTTATGGTTTTTGGATTTTTTGCTTACTTGTTGTTCTCTTAAATATTATCACGAGTTGTCTAAAAATCAGAAAAGTTTGGCATACATTAGCTGGTTTGACAAATATTCTAATTTATGTGAGGTTGGTTCTGGTTTGGTATACATTCATCTCCTCGGATCTCTAGCTTTCTGTGACAATTCTATGACTTGCTTTCTAGTTATAATTTATTTGGGTGATTTACTATTCTAGTTATTGATTTACATATTCTAACTTGATTTATATGTTCTATCATTCAATTAGTTAAGAACTTAATGTGTTATACACTAATGCTGTTATAATATTTGTTGTGTTATTGTTATATACATATATTGGAATAATGATTAATATAATTAATTATTATGTTATATTATTATGGTTATGTTGGATAAGTAGTTATGTGTCAATTCACAAAGAGTTAATTTATTGAAGTGTTAAATTGTGATTGTAGTTTCTAGTTAATGTGTCAATGTATCTTTTTAAAACATGACATTTAAGAAATGATTAAGAATTATTATTGTAATATATTTTAATATTTTGGCTAGATGGAGGATTTCAATACCATTCATGAAAAAAAAAATTTATGAAAATGAATAAGTTTGGGCTTCTGAAAATGTTATAGAGCCCCCTAAGATCTATTTAATGAGGAGGGGACACTTACTAAGAAGCGACGAAGGATGACTTCAGCTATTTGGGGTTATTTTGAGATGGTGCCTAATATGAAAGATGGAAAACAAAAATGTAAATGAAAGAAATGTAGCAGTACTTATGTGATAGCAAAAATAGAACTGGTAATCTAACGCATCATCCTAAAAATTGCAAGAAAAGAAATACATGTGATATAGGACAGTTGATCTTTTTAACCAATTCTGATTATTCCATGTCTATATCTGATAATAAGTTTGATCACGTAGAATTTCGTGACTTGTTCACTGTATCTATTATTATGCACGATTTTCCCTTTCAATGTGTTGAGTGGGTTGGAGTTTGAGTCCTCTTGATATATCTTTGTCATAATTTACAATTATTTTCTAGGAACATTGCTAGAAATGATTGTAAAAAATTATTTACTAAAGAGAAGTGCAATATAAAGGAACAATTATATAAAACTACTAGCAAGGTTTGCTTAGCATCAGACCTATGAACTTCTATAAATACTAATGAGTTTATTTGTTTAACAGCTAATTTTATTGATAATGAGTGACACTTGCAAAAAAAATTATTAATTTTTCTTTCATGCCAACCCCATGATAGAATTACTTTATTTGAAAAGCTGCAATCTCTTTTGGCAAAATAAAAATTAGAATAAAAGATTTTAAGTATTACTTTAGATAATACTTCCACAAATAATGTTTAAGTTGATTATCTAAGGAATCATTTAAATTTACGTGGTGACCTGTTGTGTGATGATAAATTTTTTCATGTTCGTTGTACAACCCATGTGTTAATTTTGTGGTTCAAGAAGGTTTGAAGGAAATTGATGGTATAATTATCAAAATATGATAGAGTACTAAGTATATGAAAGGCTCTCAAGCAAGGAAATAAAAGTTTCTTGATTGTGTTACGCAAAGTTGCCTAGATGGGAAAAGAGATTTGAGACAGGATGTTCCAACTAGATGGAACTCCACATTCATTATGCTTGACAATGCTATTTATTTTCGACGTTCTTTTCAACATTTAGAATTGATTGATTCAAACTACAAGAAATGTACAATAGCTCCTAAATGGGAGAAAGTTAAAGCTATTTACAAATTTTTGGCTCCATTCTATGAAATTATTTGTCTAATTTTTGGGTCAAAGTACCTAATAATAAATTTATACTTCCCATATATTTCTACAACGCAAGCAGAACTAAAAAATGAAAAGTTAAACGTGCATCAATACATCAAAAAAATGATAATAAGGATGATTGCTAAGTTTTAGAAATATTGGTCAAAATTAAGTGATATATTGGCAATACCTATTATTTTAGATCTGAGATACAAAATTACTTTCATAAAGTGGTATTATCGGAGATTGTACGGTAGGGATTACCTCTTTAAACTAAGAAAGATCAAACTTAAGTTGTTCTTCTTATTTGCTAACTACAATTTATGAGGGAATGATATATAAGGGCAATATTCATGTGCATCTAAGATATTACAAGGTGTTGCTTCAAAGAGTACTTCATTCTCAAAGATTAAGTCACAATTTCTACATATTATATAACTATAATTGTTGAGTTACAAATTCATTGTTTATTTTTTTTTACAGTTCTAATACATTTCAAAAAAATCGGATTTTGATTCATTTGAGCAGGAGGTCGTAATGCCTAGGAAATCAGAATTAGATATTTATCTTAATGAACCAAAGTTTGATAGGAATGTCAATTTAGACATTTTAAAATACTTGCAAGGGAACCAATATAGATTTCCTAATGAATCTACTATGGCTCGTGATGTATTATGCATTCCAATTATTATAATAGCATCTGAAAGTGCCTTCAACAATAGTGGTAGAATTCTTGATCAATTTTGAAGTGCACTGAAAGATGATATTGTTGAGGCACTAGTTTGTGCAAATGATTGGTTATATGGAGAATATGGTGCTTTCTTTATCATATTCAAGAACATTTACATTTCTTTAATATTATTTAGAGCTCAAATTTATTTTTCTTTTTGTTTCAGCAGTAATTGATCCCAAACTTGATGTTGTAATTGAAGATATTTTTTAGTTTGGATGTGAACACAAGTGATAGAGAGTAGGGTGAAAGTTTAGTTGTTGGATGATTTCATTTGGTTATTGCTTATTATTTGTTTAAAGAATTTGATATATCATGTATATTGCTTTTTGACTATTTTAAGAATTTCATATGTCTGCTTTAAGAATTTGAGATAATCCTGAGTTGCTTCCTTGCTGGGTTGGTTTCCTATTATTTAGTTGGTTGTTGTTAGTAAATATTCCTAGTTGAACTTTCTGCTATTTGAGTTGAACTATTTGTTATTCAGTTCCACTTATATTTGAGTTGGACTTTCTGCTATTGTGAAATTTGCCCCATATTAACATATTCTTTAATTTCATATTTATGGATATATCTGCTATTGAGTTGTTGAGACTTGAAAATCTCGATTGCTACTGTATATTATTCAACTGGTTGTTATGGGTGCGTTTACTGTTGCTAGCTGGGTTGTTTTTCTTGTAATTCCTTCACTGCTACCTACTGCCTTGGTTTGTCTGTTACTGGCTACAGGTTGTGCATGTTCAGAATTGTAAGAGAACTAAATGTATCTTAAGAGATGTTGGGTTGTTTCTAAAAGAATTGAAAGCTGAGTTGTAATGATGAGAACCCTTCTAAACTGAGTGTGAGTCATTTGAAGAAAATTTTATTTCAACCAGGTGACATGTGTTATATTCTAATCAAATAGATACTAAATATAACAATATAATACAAAATATCGCATTGGATGGCAATACCGTGATAGTCAAAAAGTTCATTGTTGACTCACACTTCATTACTTGATGAATTATTTGGAGGATTAATTTGAGCTATTGACTCAAGCTTTCTACTTTCTCATGGTTCTATAATAATATCAATTTTTAACCTCTTTTTTCAATTAACTTAAATCTCCATGAGGTAGGTCCTGCCAAGACATCCGGTCTTCAGAGTTTCCAATTCTTCAAACAATCAAAGTATCAAAACTATATTTCTAAATTATGATTTGTAATTTGTGAAATTGTATGTTTATAACTTGTTATGAGGTTTGTAATTTTTTATTTGATTTTTTTATTTATTTAATTGTGGTTTGTAATTTTACTTGTAAATTGCAGTTTTTAAAATTTTATTTATTTAATTAGTTTGTTTTGAAGTAAAAAAATTAAAGTTAAATGGGTTGGCGGGTCAATTTGGGTTGATCCAAACCTGGATCGGGTCGGGTCCAGGTGCAGCATTTTAACCCATTTCCCTAAATGGGTCGGGTTTGGGTCGGGTCATATGATGACGGGATGGTTTCGGGTTTGACACGAACCTGACCCGAAAACCCATTTTGACAGCCTATCAATCATTTCACAAAGCAGCATTATCAAACCAACCTACAATAATTGGTTTAAGTTTAAATAAATTCTACGTAGATGCAACCACAAAGCACTTCTAAGCTGAAAAAATGATTATTGTCCAAGTCTATCAATATCTGTGTCTAGTTTATTGGCAAAATTTGGTTTGAATAATCTCTTTAAAATATATCATATACGAATTATACTATTATGTTGAATAACTGCAAAGCAGTATTATAAGCTTCAAACTTACCAAATATTGTTTCATTCTCTAAAACAAAAAAAAAATTGGACGGGGTTGGTCTGATTAAATTAAACACAAACACCAATAAATGCCCAATATTGTCTCAAGAGGTTCTATTCCTAGAACCTGGAATGATGCAATCTGAAGACTGAAGTGATCATAAAACTAAAGCAAACAAACAGTCATATCATTGTAACTCACCCATTAGCAATAGAAAAACACATTTCTTCATTTTATCAAAATGGTTGTATTTATCATGCTTAGTCTAAGTGAGGAAACAAACAAAAATAAATGGGCAAAACATATTGATATATATTATGGACAATGCCATCTCAAAGAAGGGAAAATATAGTCCATGGTTCATATTTTAACCAAATAATATTTCCATTTTGAAATACCAAGTCTAGGTTCCCATTCATTTTATAAGACATCTAACAGGTGCAACAGTCTAAAATCAGAACTTTGTAGAAACAAAAATTCACCTAAAATATCTAAGGGATTGGCAACAAAAAATTCAGCTTTAGATTGAATAGAAAGTCATACAAAGTTAATAGTTTCCGAGCAGACAAATATGAGAAAGTCATACAATGTCAATAGTTTCCAAGCAAGCAAATATAAGAAGTAAAAAAATTCGTCAGGTCACAAAACAATACTGAGAAGAAATTGCTTACTTGATGGCGGAAAACAAGATATGCTAGGCCAAAAAAAACCATTATGTATGGAAGTAAAAAGGGTGCGACCACAGCATATACGAGACCAAGTAAGAAATATAGTTGTATCTTGGGTTCATTTGCATTAAATTCAATGCTCCCAGGGTCCATGGCCTCTTCTCTATCTTTTTCAGTCTTTACCAAGAAAATATTCTTCAAGTGATATACTATCAAAGGTTTCAATCTTAAAATCTCCCCTGCAACTCCAGCCCAGCCATCAACCATGACATATGTTATAAAAAATGTAGCTTTCTGTGGAATTGCTATGCCAATGGTCTTCGGAAACCTGCATTTTGACATTGAAACTGTCATTAGAATACCAGTACCTCAAAATTTTGAGACCTGAACTTGCTACACAATAGGTTCATAGCCATATCTAAAATTTGAGTATATGCTAAATTTATTTTTCCATGTCCTACAGATTAGACGACTTAAACTACTTTCAAAGAATTTATCTTAATTACCAACTATATGTGATAAAAGGAAAGCTCCAAGTAATCTACCCTAAAATTAGCATCAATATTTAAAAACAAAATTTGTTAAGGAAAAGCGCACTGATGAGAACAGTAATGGTAAAGATGTCTACAAGGAAAAAGTAAATGAGAAGAGAAGGATTTATGTCATTTAGGGATATTCGCTTATGTCCATGACTGTGGAGGGAGATGATTGTTCCATTAGAACAAAGATAAATATATGATAAAAAATATTCGACAACCAAAATATTTCCTCATGTTTATTTCTCTACATTTCGCTTCTCTCTTATCTTTTCTATCCTCTTTTCTTTCCTCACTGTAAAGCCCAAAAGAAATCTCACCGGCAACCTTTTCTTTGTATTTTTCTTCTCCAAAATAAGTAATTTATTAAAAAAAAAAGTAGGAAGGTTGAACTTCCATAGTTTCTAGCTATCAATGTACCCTGGTATCAAGGATCAAACAAAGCACAAATAAAAAAAGAAGATAATTAGCAATAGAAAGTAATGCATAGTCTAGAACATTAAACATTAAACGGCCAAAATAGATGGGGATCCTAACGAGCAACCATCAATGTGAATATACACAAGTAAATGATCCTACGATGACCTGATATGCATGATTGCATGAATACCAATAACAATTTCCACAGTATATTTAGTGGCCTAAAGATGCAACAATGAGAAAGCGCAGTTGATCAATTAAACAAGAGTAACATGCATGCCTCCACATTATCTCTGAAACAAATTTTAGAAGATTTTCTGGGTGGAGGTCTACAGGAGAAGAAATTATTCGGTGCAAAATCCAGACGTTGTTATCTGTTCGGACGCCAATAAAATTGTGACCCATGGATAACCTATGTTGCGATTGCTGACGTGGATTGCTTAGTGAAATTTCGACATGGCTTCAACACTTAATCCCCAATAAAGGTTAAAAGTGAATATGGCGGATGAATTCCACATTTTGAGCGGCACCTTTTTGGTTTTCAACATCCGGCGTTCCTTCTCCGAAGAGAAACTCCTCTGAAGCTTCTGCATTCTCTTATTGCAATTCATCATTCGTCTCCGAAGTTCCTGCATTCTCTCCGCTGGCGTCACCTTCTCCACCTGCAAAAAGAAAGGTAATTTGCTTGCATATTTTATGCTCATGTTATGCATATTTTATGCTCATGCTATGCGTATTTTATACTCATGTTATGCTTATTTTATACTCATGTTATTCTTATTTTATATTTAATAATTGCATAAATATTTGATGCTAGTTATGACCTTATCGTATTTTCGTTATTTTTAGGGTTTATGCTAAAACCTAAACCCTAACAAACTATTAACAAATGAACTCTTTGGATCTTAGAAACAACAAAAAAGTAAATAGATAAATGTTTTATGTGTACGTTCTGAGTAGTTTGTGTGTAGGTTGTGTGTAATCACTATGTATTTTATGCTTATGTTATGCATATGCGTTCCTTTTGAAAACTTTTAAAATTATTAACGCTGGTTATAACCCATCGTATTTTCTCTGTATTTAAGGTTTATGCAGAAAACCCTAATAAACTTTTAATAATTAAACTCTTTGGATCTTAAAAAAATATGAGTTGTTTGTGCCAATGTTGTGCGTAGGATATGCATAGGTTGTGCATAACCACTGCGTATGTTGTGTATATATTATGCGTATGTTGTGTATCTTCTCCTTATGGTTCTTTGAGATGTTCTTGCCAATGATGGAATACATTTGGATGATGTTATTTGATTACATCTTGAGTGTAATATCATCTTAGGAATCTATGTCACTTGTTTGATGGCCTTCTAAGATTGCAGCTATAAAGATTGTTGAATCACCACAATTGTGCATTCTCTCTGCGTATAATATGCGTATGTTATGCGTATGTTATCGTATTTTATGAGTATGTTGTGTGTTTTATTAACTATCTTTTTTTCTTATTTTATATATTTTTTTAACCTTGATGTTTCAGATATATATTCGTCTTAATTTTGCTCAGCAAATTTCTCATGAAGTTGTGGACATCTTTAAGAGTTTAAATATCATACAATTTTTGCAATTTTTTGAATTTGAAGAAAATATCCCACTTATTTATGAGCTGATCTCAAGGTGAAATATTCCAAATCAATGTTTTATTTTAAATGGGCATGCTATTTCTTTCACTGTTGATGAAGTGACCCTTTTTACTGATCTGTCAAATAAAAGTGAAGAAATATCATGACTTTTTTTAGCACTTACAGTAGTTACATCATTAAAAATTAAGGCGGACATGCTTGAGTTGATCAAGAAAACCCCCCTAGAGACTATGTTGAGAATGTTTATTATGTATTTATATTCAAATTTATTTTTTCAACTTAATAACTTTAAAACCCCTCGGTTGCTTCACCGAATAGTAAATAATGTAGATGAGTTATTCTCAATAAACTGGGCGGGGTCGATTAAGAAATTTTTAGTTGGAGAGTTTAATAAGGCATCCACCAAGATTTCAAATAAGAAGCCAGAAGGTTACATCAATAATTTTATGTTTATATAATTATGAGTACTAATTCATTCTAATTTTTATTTAATTTTTATAATTCATTTGCTAAAATTTTCTTTGATATTATGCAGATTTGGTTCCTGGAGCACACTTCTATTCATGCTCCCATATACACTGAAAAAATGCCCCGTTTCTTACGATGGGCTGATGATATTATATATACTACTGAGACTGTCACAAATTTATTTGTTAATGTAAGGAAAAGTTAGGTACATCTTACAGCAAATTTCAATTAATACATCTATGAAGAATAAGAATTTGTTAATATATAAGTTTTTTGCAGATTTTTTATGTCCTCAGGGGAGTTACCCAGGCTGAAATTAATCTGGTTAATATCAAGAAATATCCATCACATAGTGCTCTATCCCATTATGAAATATCCACCCATCAAACCCCCCACCAATCTCCCCATCATACCCCACCTCCTCCAATCTCCCAGCAACCACACTTTATTTTTTATGCTAAAGCTATAGAATTTCTCCAAGAAAAAATAATCAAATCCTGCCAAGAAACCTGCACTAAACTCTTTCTTGAATTTGAAGGTAGGCTAAGGAGAAAGTTTGAATAACTAACTGAAAGAGTAGAAACTATTGATGTCAAGTTCAATAATTACATTGCTCACAACAAATTATTTCTGAGAAATGACTTGTTAGCTACTCCTCATCTTCCAATAAGAAATAAAAATATTTCCAAGGCCCAAAGAAATCAGATATCCCTCCCCCAAAAAAGATATCCTTGATTGGATCCATACCCTAGAAAAGCAAGAATTCCCAACCACAGACGAACCTGATAGGATCCATAAACTAGGAAAAAAAATGAGCTAGTAAAAGATATTATAAAATTTAAGAGGAAGATTAAACTGAAGAAACAGAAACCAATGCAATCCGAAAATGTACCAAACCCATCCCAAAATGTGCCAATCCAATCCTAAAGTGTACCAATCCCATCCCAAAATGAATCAATCCTATCACAAAATGAGCTTGACATCAATAACGCAGTACATACACGTAAAATACATAGTAAGTACGCACAAAATATGCAGTACATACACATAAAATATGCAATAAGCACTACAGAAAATTCAGCTGTTACCGGCGGCCATGATCGGCAGTTATATGGCCGCCGGTAAAAACGGCGGTTTTGCCGTCGGGTATTGCCGGCGGCCTAACCGGTGGTTATTTAAGTTTAGGCCGCCAGGACTAGCGGGGGTCATCTAACCGCCGGATGAACCGCCGGATCTCAATATTACTGGTGGTATACCGGCGGCTAAAACCGCCGTTGTTAAGTGATTTCAGTACCGGCGGTCTACGCTGCCGGTAAAAGCCCTAAAATTAACAAGCCCGAGCCTCCCATTTCATTTCTCTTCTTCTGCTCTCTCTCTTCGGCCGAGCTCCCCCGTCGCCTTCGCCGGACTCTCACGCGATCGAGCGGCCTGACAACTGCCGACGACCTCTCTCCGGCCGCCGACCCCACACTGGCCGCCCTCGAAGCCTCACTGTCTTGCCGCCATCGATCTCACACCAGCACGCCTAGTGTTCATGGGAGTTGAAGGAAAACCACGATTTCAAGATAAACTTGAATGTTTTTTTGTGATTATTTATTCTCACTAGACATTTGCAAGAGTTTGTAATCTAGTGTATGCTTTAGGTTGTAATCTAGACATTTGCAAGAGGTTGTAATCTTGTAATCATTTGAGTAGATCTAAATTTGAATTTATTAAGTGTAATTTTAGTAATGATAGATCTAATGGGTGGATTGTGACTTTGGGTGAGAGCAAGATAGCAAGAGAGAGATAGAGAGAGAAAGAGAGAAAGAGAGAGAGAGAGAGAGAGAGAGAGAGGGAGAGAGGGAGGGAGAGAGAGAGAGAGAAAAGAGAGAGAGGGAGAGATAAAAAAGAGAGAGAGCAAGAGAGATAGATAGATGGAGAGAGAGCAAGAGAGAGAGAGCTAGAAAGAGGGAGAGAGAGATATAGAGAGAAAGAGAGCAAGAAAGTGTAAGAGAGAGCAAGAGAGGGAGAGTGAGAGAGAGAGAGAGGGAGAGAGAGATAGAGAGAGAGGGAGAGACATACCCGCCGGTGTTTTTAAAAATTGCTGGTTTTACTAGCCACGCCGCCGGTAATAACTGAATTTCATGTAGTGAAGTGTGCAGTAAATACACACAAAATATGCAGTACATATACACAAAATATGCAGTATGTACTCATAAAATACCATTGTTCGCATTAATTGCTAACATGCTATAAAGAAATGTGGACAAATATGAATGCTTCAAAGACTT